ATTCATAGTTTTTATCATAGAGCTTCCAACTTTTAAAGGATTTTTAAGCATGGATGGAGAACAAATGATGAAAGGAATTTTAAATAAAAAAATCTATTGACGACTGTCAATAGCCTTATATAAAATCCCGAAAATATTAAAATTTTTGAATTATTTTAATAAAAGCATGCCGGAGTTAAAATAAATTAATAAAAATATTTACAAGTCAAAAGAATTAAAAAATTTAGTAAAAAAAAGAAAAATAAATGCAACATGGTTATTGTCAACCTCACTTATAAGGCTAGAAAAGAAGGCGTTGTCGAAAAAGACACGACGAATCATGCTTTCCGAAATCTCCATAGTTATTCAAAAGCATTCTTAAATGTACGATTTGTAAATATATTTGCTTGCTTATATGTACAATATTTACGATATTCCTTTTTCTTTAGCGACAGCTGCCCGGATGTTTATGTAAAGGGCATCTAAATTCGATAATTTTGCCAATATTGCATATAAAATCGTCCGTTTTTGAAAACTTATTCAAAATTTTTTACTCGAATCCTTTGAAGAAAGCCTTGTGTCATCTAATTAATAAGTAATATACACTTTTCTACCCGAGTTGCCATTAACATGTGAGTTAGAGCGAGAATGCCCTTTACAAGGCTTATTTTTTTATACAATTAATCAAGACTCATTTTAATTTAAGTTTTCATTAAAAAATAAAATGATACAAATAAAATTTCTAGAAAACACTCTCTTTAGTTTATAGGTAGCTCTAAAATTTTTTAAGAAAAAATCCTCGGAAGAGGTTTCTTCCAATTTTCTCGACATTGAATGAGTATTGCTCAAATTAAAGAAGAAATCGAGAGCACTATAACCGAATACTTTTATTTACAAAAAATCTATTATTCTTAAATATATAATTAGGGCGTGTCAAAATATGCGCGGAAAATCCCAAAATATGCGCATATATATGCACCGAAAAAGGCACCGAAACTTTATATATGCACCGAAAACTTTTACTTAAAGCAACAAGAATTAATGCTTTAAGTAAAAACGATATTTTAGTTCTAAAAGATTTTATAGATACATATAATATTTTTATTATAATGGTTTGACCCAAAAGAATGAGCCCTTTATGGATAATGCAAATAATTTACTATAACAAAAAACAATCAAGAAACGATGTATTGCCCATTAATATCTATTACTTTTTGCCATTTTTTGGACAGCTTTTGAATTCATCTTTGATAAAAAGTTCTAGCTGATTTTGCCTCTCAAAAATCAATTACCCAATTTTTGATTTGCGTATGATTTTGGAACCGAACTTCACGTAAATGATTTTTCATAGACCGGAATAAGTGATATTCAGATGGCGCAATGTCCGGTGAGTAAGGCGGGTGTAATAGATTACCCATCCGAGTGTTTCATAAATGTGGGCACTGTTGCATTTGCACGGTGTGCAGGCGCGTTGTCCTGATGGAAAAACAACCTGGACTTGACGTCGTCACTGAACTGTGAAACCATCAATGGCAACTTGAACGAGGTACAGGATTGTACGATAATGCATCTCCATTAAGTTCAGTGCCCATAGGAATTAATTCCCAGTGTACAATTCCAAATCTAGCCCAAAAGGAGGGCTCAAAGGAGGGCTCATTCCCAAAAGGAGGGCTCACCCATTATTAACCAAAAAAATTTTTTGGGAAAAAATTTTTCCCAGAAAATTTTTTCCCAGAAAATTTTTTTCCCAAAAAATTTTTTGGTAAAAATAAAAAAAATAAAAATTTTGCCCCAAAAATTCCAAAATTTTGAAAATTTTGCCCAATTTTTACTAAAATTTACTGAAAAATGCCTAAATACGGACCAGAATAAGCATAATTTGCCAAAATATGCACCGATATGCAAATATACACAAAAGACCAAAATATGCATTAGGAACCGGGTCCTAAAGTGCTTGGACCGATGTAAAAACACCGTTTTTGAGTGTTTCAGCTCATGACATATCCGCATGCAAAATATGCATTTGCATGTTTTGACACGCCCTATATATAATTATTAGTTTATTATACTTTTTAAATAATCAACAAATAGTTCTACACAGTTAAATAAGTAAGTTTATTCGAATAAGTTTTGGATCTCCCTAATATTTGTAACATTGTGTTTTAATTTTTTACAAAACATTTTAATAAATTTATCTTTTATGCTATCACTAAAAATAATAAAATAAAATGAATATTTGATTTAAAAAAGTTAATATTTTTTTTGCAATTTCTTCATACTTAAAAAAATTTTTTTTTGATTTTTTGAATTTTTTTGTCAATTTCTGAAAATTTTTTGGGTTTAAACATAACTTTTAAATTTTTTGGTATAATTTTTAGTATATTTTCTTGAATTACCAATAGGTTACTTAAATAATCTTCAATTCAGCTAAAATCAGATCCAGTAGCCTCAACAACTTGAGCTTCCTTTTCTCCATCTAAAACGTTTGTGGCTTTATCTGCTAAAATTAAACTATAAATTTTTGTATATTAATTTTGCTTGTAACATAAAATATTTCGAGAAATTTTTTCAATTACCTTGATTTGCAGATAATGTTCCTTTTTCTGAGTCTAACAAGTTTCCTGGTATTTTATTTTTCTCAATGATCTCGAAGTTGTTGTAAAAATATTTTATAGTTGTAAGTGAAGTTCGCTTTGTGCTATTCATCTTTTCAATCTCCTTTCTTGCTTCATTTATCGTCAGGCCGTGTTTAAAGCAATGAAATAATACAGCACAAATTTCTGTTTTTGGGGTCAATCCTTCTAAAATTAATAAAAAAAATAAATACGAAAGTAGAATTTTAACTGTTTTTACTAAAAATTTTGGAACGGACTGAGAGGAGAATGTTTAGATAGTTTGTCTAATTTCAATAAGGTACCAATAAAGAAAAAATTTTAACAATAATTAATGGCCTGTACTTTCAACAAGTTTTCGTCTCCCGCAAAAATTTTTTGATTAACACAGCTAGAGTTGGGCAGGATCGGGATCCCGGCGTAAAATCGGGATCAGATTTTGGAATAATTATCCTGGTCCCAATCCCAACTCGGGATCGGGATGAAAAATCGGGATAGGTATTTAGTTAAAAATTTAAAAAAAATTTTTCAACTGCTGTGCTGAAATAATGATTTTAAGTTCTATCGCGCATTTGTTCCTGGGTATCAGGGATTAAGGACGGATAAGGCATTAATTTATGTTTCAGTGCATATTTTGGGCTTTTCGGTGCATATTTTGACACGCCCTATTAATTGGATTTAGATGAAGATTATGAATTTGGGGCATCAAGTCTAAATTTCGAAAATTAAACATCCGTTCAAATCTACGAAGCTCCAATATCCGCCCAAATCTCGGATATCAGTCAAGGAGCCAGAATTCTTCATTTTCCAGCGCTTCAGGCAAAAATTTTGAAAATTTTGGAAGGCCAAGAAGACAGATTGCTTCCTTCATTTGGAAAAAGTTAGAGAATTTAAATTGTTATTTTCCAATCCAATCCGTAAAATGCCAACTCAAATCTTTTTGGTTTTTTACGTCTTGGATTGAAAAATAAACTGCTTTTCGCTAATGGAGGTGTTCGTGGTGTTTTATTGTTCTTACCGCTCCAGAATTTTTTGTAAGAACGTTTGATTGTTGAAAGTGAAGTCCATTTTGTGCCCTTCAATTGATCAATCTCCTTTTTTGCTTGATCTGCAGTCAGGCCTCTTTCGAAGCATTTTAAAATTAAATCCTTTTCTGATTCTTGGATCACAGCTCCTAAAAATGAATAAAAAATTATGAACGCAAGTAGAATGTTATCTAATTTTACTAAAAATTTTCGAATGCACTGGGAGGAGAATGTTTAGTTAGTTTGTCTAACCTATAAAAGATGACAAAAAAGTAATTTTAAAATAATTGAGGTCTGTACCTCTACGAGTTTTCAACGGTTCTAACAGTGGTGTGCGCGAAAGACATGTTTTCCTTTATTAGTTGTGTTTGGTCATAAGTTACTTAGCGATGAACATGAATATTTAGGTTACATTTTATTAAATTACCTCGACTTGCAGATGATGGTCCTTCTTCCGTGTTTAACGGGGTATCAGATGAAGAAAGTCCTTAATATAAATATAAAACGGTCTCAAAAGTTTTTTTAGTATTGTTATACTAATAAATTATGTTAGCATTAACCTACTAATAGATTAATGCTAACTACTGAAAAACAAACCTTGTGGTCGAGTTTGCACATTAATTCCAGGACGTAGAGCTGCTGGATGAACTCTAAAACCTGGAGGAGGACCCAAGGTTTGATGATGATAAGCTAAAATGTAAATAATAAGGTAAATGATATAAGACATATCATAAAACCTACCTGGTCGGTGATGTTGTCCTATAATTCGAGGATGTGTTGCAGTTGGCGGGACAACTGTTTTTATAAATTCGATATTTCAATTAATAATTAGTTCTAATTCATTAAGAACCAACTTTATGGGCGAGGCTGGTTCTGTAATTATAAGAACAAGGAGACACACAAGGAGCAGGGGAACCATGACAATTACTTTTTCTCTTATGAATTGATATTTAGTCATAGGTTGCTTAGCGCAAGAATATTATATTCATATTTGTTAAAATTACCCTGACTTGCAGATGATGGTCCTTCTTTCGAGTTTAACGGAGTATCAAATAATGATTGCCCTTGATAATTATGAGAACCAGGAGACACATAATTTATTTCCACATTAGAATTAGTATTTTCAATAATTTGGACATCTTGCATTTGTAAATCTTGATCTTTGCCATCATGTCCGGTAACTTGTTTTGCAATTTTTTCAAGATCTTCAATTTTATTTTTACTTTCCAAAATATTAAAAAAAATTTTTTAAATACACCCCTCTCTGCATTCTGGATATTAAAAATAACCAATAAAGTTTCATGTGTTAAGGTTCATGAGTTAAGGTCTACGTGTGATAAACGTTCTGTTATTTTCCTCTACGTGGAGGGGTCGTAACAATATCCTAACGCCAAAAATGCAATGAAAGTAATGAAGTATGCGCATTAAATTGCACATTTACTGAATAACATGTACCTTCTATAGCTTTTCTAGTCTTATTTAAGTTTTGACAAGCCTTTTCATATTTTTCCTTTGTTTTACGGACCTCTTCCTTATAAAATTCTTCATCTCTTTTAAATTCTGCAATTTCTTCATTTATTCGTTTCAATCGTTTCACTTTTCGTTCAGATGGTTCTTCTCCTTGTCTATGTTCATTCATGCATTCCGATAAGTCGGATAATATGCAAATAAAAAATAAAAAAATAGCAAATTTTGCCAAGTTCATTCGTAAATTGATAATAAATGAGGAATAAATTTTAGATAGAGATAATCGGAAACAGGCTGGTATATTTAAAAGTTTCTGAAAATTAAAATTTTTTGGATTCGTATAGTAAACATTTATATAAAATTATTAAAAAAATTAAAAACAAAAGGCGATATAGGAAAATTTTTTATAAGAATGGAGTCCCAAAAATACTACGCTTTGGTTCTATTTTAACTAATTTATTCAACAATAAGGGGAATTGGACGGATTAATGGATTTGGAAAATTTCATGGTTTTAAGAGTATATCTGTGGATATAATAGGATTTAAAGTGATTAAGAGTGGATTCAAGAGATATCAGTGATTCACTGAATAAAGATAGTTTATTATAAAAATCAGTTTTTATTTAGTAACCGACTTAACAATATAAATAAAATGAGATTAACTTGTGGATTGAAAATGTGAATAACTTCTGGGATTGGCTCCATTAGAGCGGCCCTCTGAGAGCGGATTGAAAAATAGAGAGGCCTGTAGCTCAATTAGAAAATGCGGTATTTTTAAAAATAAAGAGAATATTATATTCAGATTAACTACTTTAAATGAAAGGCCATTTAACTTTGAAAATTCAGCAATAACAAAAAAATATTTTGAAATATTTTCTCTATTCATTACCTTTCTCTTACATTTTATTTGCCAATAAGTGCATTTCTTTTTAAAAAATGCCCGCGCACACATGTAAACAACATCAGACGCTTTAAAAGTCGGAATGTCATAAGATGCTTTTTGCACTTTTTATTTCACGTGAAATAAAGAAAATAAATTTAAATAAATAACTAAATAAAATTTAAAATAAATTTTTTGGAGTTATTTCTCGTTACGATTTAAAAGCTCAAATGGGAGGTATGAAGCTTTAGAACTGTTGTTATCAACTATCAAATCACTTTTTATCAACTTTTTAAACTAAGTTGTGTCCAATACGTGGCCAATCACCGCTTAACTCTCAAAAAACTAATATTCAAGAGAAAAAACTAACTCATGAGAAAAAATCATTTAACTTTTTTGACTTCTCTAACCTAACACTGTTTTCTTTGTAGGTTTTAATTAAATGCAACTACAATTTAAAACAAAAAATAACAAAACAAATTCTAAAAAATCTCATTACTTTGTTGACATCTCTAAATACACTCCATTTTCTTTAGGCATATTTTGACATTTTTAATTAAAACTAAATACAACGCCAAACACAGCAAAATTTAAATCTGCGGACAGAAAACAATTCTAAAATTTAATATAGTATCGCCCATCGTTAGGTAATCAATTATTTTGTAATTTTTTCTTGTGACTTTGTCAATTTGAAATAGCATGTGTTTTTATGATTTAGACAATTAGACAAATACGATACCTCCGTTTAATCAATTATAATTTATTCATTAATTCTCTCGCTGCGCAAGTTTGTTAATGAATGCACTATTTCTTTAGGTAAGCCAAATAAGTAGACAGTTAAAATATTTTAAGAGGCCATTAAGGCAAATCCAACATAGTGACACATCATCAAACATTATATCGCCTTTTAAATGTTTAACAAGCTTTACTTAGGTCTTTAATTGTCTGAAGAAAAGGAGTTTAAGTTTACAAATAATTTATAAGAATATAAAAATAAATACCCAAAATCATATGAGGTGCAGTTTGTAAAAATATTCCTTCATTCTGAAGCAAATTATTTTACCTTCCTATTCTTTAATAGTGAATTAAAATATCTCAGAATTAATTATTCCCTCAGAATAATTAACCTAGATAAAACAAATAAACACAATAACACAACTAAAATCTTTATCTCTAAATAGCACACAAATATTTATAAAGACGTGAATGATCACAGGGAAAACATGAACATTAAGAAAAGTGAAATTTCTGCCTATCTTTTATAGTCAAAATAACAATAATATAAATGCTGCAATGTAAAGTAAATTGCAGAAAATATACAAAAGATTTGTCAAAAATGGAAAGTGACTCACTGAGTCACTACACAAAAATAAATAAAATTCTTCAAAATATATCAAAATATCAAAAATATTTAAAATCTTTAAATCTTCAATCTCGTCATCGACAGTTTTATTTTATTAAAAGGGCATGTATATTTTTGATTTTTATTTTTTCTAATAAATTGCAAGAAATATTTCTAATAAATGTAATGTTTTGTAATAATGTAATTATAATAATTTTAATAATAATAATTTTTAATAATATAATAATAATTTTCTAATAATTTCTAAGAAATAAACATCATTTGTTTAATCTTAATCATCGTTTAAATTACGAGTACGACGTCTCTCATATCTAAGCTTTTCAGATTTGCCTTCAAGAAACCCGACTATAGCACTAATGGAAGGACGCAAAATTGGATTAATTTGTAAGCAACCCTTAAAAATAAAATTTAATTTTTAAAATAATCTACTAATAATTCATTTGATTGAATTTTATAAATATAACCTTTAAAACTCTGCCAATTTTAGTATTATAAGAATTATTTGACATGTATACAGGCAGCATATTATTTACAATATGATAAGTTGCAAGTGGTAAATTTGTTGGAATATTTTGAAAACGAAACTTCATCATTGTAAGCATCATTACACCAAAAGCCCAGATGTCGACTTTTCGATTCACCTGATAAAAATAAACACATTCAAAAGTATTCAATATTTAGTTTGTCTTATTTTCAGTTGATTTTTATTTTTTATTATTTGATAAAGGGTACTTATTTGTTAGATTGTTACAATAGATAACGATAATCGCAAAATTATAAATATATCCTAAACCTTTTCTATAATCTGAATGAGAATATCCAAAAAATACAGTTAAAAGGATTAGTTTAAAATTATTTATTTTAAAAATCCAAAATCTTCTTATAGACTAAATTCTAGATTTACCAAAGAATAACAAATTATTGTATTTTAAAATGTAGTACAGTCTGGTCCAATTTTATAACACCCATATTTTTCTCTTTATTGCATATTTCAAAAAAATAATTCAAAATTTGCAAATTAAAAAATCCGTTTCAATACATATTAAATATTGTTTAGCCCTTGATCCTGTATCATTTTAAATTTTTTTTTTGGAAAAATTGAAAGGGACATGATATATTTAGAAAAATAAGGGTGCTGTTATAATTTTTGAACAGACTGTATATATGTAGTATTTAAATCATATACATACTTTTAAACCATTATTTGCACTTTGTCCTTCAAAGACCTCTGGTGCAAGTGCTATATTTCCTTGTAAATTTTCTATTATTTTATCTTCGCCTTTTGGAATAATAATCGACGAATTAAAATCAATTAATTTACAGAATTGCAGCGGCTCATGCGAATTTTGCTCTTTGGGTATAACAAAATTAGAGGCTTTAATATCCAAATGTATACCAACTAAAAATATTAATAAATTTTGATTAATAACTCAGGATTTTCTGGGATTTTTTATTTTCTGGTTTTATGGTCACGTCTTCGTCTTGAGTATGACCGTAAGATTCTCTCTCTATTTGGGTGTAGTCTTTGGAGCTAGTGTAGTCTTTGGGATAGTGAATTAAAATATCTCAGAATTAATTATTTCCATAGAATAAATTCAAAGAAGTGGGAAAAATTTCGGAAAACGAACAGATCCGAAATAGGTCGAATTATATGTCATTCGAAAGAGCTCGTCGAGCTGATTCGAATGACACCAAAATCAACTCGTGATCTTAATTCTGAGCCGAGATAGAGGCTCAAAATGGTCAACGTAAACCTATGGGGCGTAGGCGAGGCGCTTGTGCAAAACCCCGCGCTTCGCGCGGGGTGTCATTCGACTTATCTCGATGAGCTCTTTCGAATGAGGTATAATTTGCATTTCGAATTTTTCACCCCAAAAAAGTGCTTGATGGTTTTTCGATTTTCGCGGACCTATATCTCAGCCCCTCTATGAGTCCGCAAAAAATTTTTTTCACCATTCGACACAACTCGACGAGCTTTTTCGAATGACATATAATTTGACCTATTTCGGATCTGTTCGTTTTCCGAAATTATACCAAGAAGTGAATGATCACAAAGAAAACATGAACATTGAGAAAAGTGAGATTTCTGTCTATCTTTTATAGGTAAAAATAACAATAATATAAATGATGCAATGTAAAATACAGTGCAAAAAATATACAAAAGCATTGCCAAAAATATACAATTGAAAAAAATGTAGTTTTATATATTGCAAAAAATGGAGCTTTTGTATATTGCAAAAAATATACAAAAGCCTATACCAATGACCCCGCCCAATGGCCCCCGTAAAACACCTAGCTAAGCGTAAATATTTAACTCTATTTAAAATTCTTACATTCATGGAATTGTTGAAGTGCTTTTGCAGCACATTTAAAAATATTTGTCAGAAACTCTTCTCGATTTTGACTTAAATTTTCTTGTTGTATCAGTTCAAACGTATTTATAATTGCTTCATTTTCTTCAAAATATTCATTTAAATTCATTCCACCAAGTTCCATAATAATAGACATAGAAATATTATTATTAATACAACAACAGTTAAAATGTTTACAACTTAATGAATTAGATTAATCAATTTAAAAAATTAGATTAGATTAATCAATTTTTAGCTTATAAATAGGATTTCCATATTTTTTCCTGACACGCTAGGTTTTGTAACGTACAAAAACAGTAACAGACCCGAGTAGGCGCGCGCCATAACATGCAGGAAAATTTCTAGCCCAATATTTTTAGCTCGATGAGAAATCGTTTATTAATAAATTTAATAAGATTCGGAAATCATGAAGCAAGCTATGGCTTTGCGCCTTTATGGCCGCGCGGCTACTGGGGTATACCCACAAAAACATAGTCTTAGCAAATGTTGGTAAGGTCTCGGAAGAGTAGATATAATCTTTTTACTTATGGTTTATTTGCTTGTCTTAAATATTTACTATACTAGCACGAGTGAGTTATTAATATAGAAATAATTTAAGATATAATATTTTGTTAACATATCATT